TTTTCATGGTGTTAAGAGAATTAGCATGAATATGCTATACGAAGCATTTCATCTCTGCGAAGACGAAGATGATAAATTTAAACTGGAATTGGTGATGATAGTAGAGTGTGTTTTGAAATCGACGGGAAGACAGATTGATTACAGAACACTGGGTATGGTTGAGTAGCTTTACGACTTCCTACAATACCCATGGGGGCGTAAAGCATATTTTATATTATTAAATTCACTGTGAGAGCACACAGATTGGAAGAAAATCAATAAAATGAATGTAAATATGCATTGCATGGATATTCACTGGCTTTCCAGGTATGTTTTTACATTCTTTATTTTATCTAATTTTTATAATCTTTATATTCAATTTTATAATTTTTGTATTCAATTATCTCAGTATTGGATATACAAAGCTTTCCCACGGATTGGAAAAAAATTTGGAAGACGTAAACATAAAACATTGCAATCTCCAAGAATGCATAGGTGGAGATTGAATAGATTTTGGACAGAGAATATAGTTAAGCAATTTTTGGATAACGAGGAGGTAATTAACTTATTAAATTATATTTCTTTACTAAGTATTATATTTCTTTGTTTTCTTCCAACAAATCATTTGAGCATTTCAATTACAGATTGAAGTTATTACAGTCTTAAACCCTACCAACGAAGAGTTGCAAACAGCATGGTATACAACTCTTTCTCTACCCAATGATAATCAACATAATGTATTAGATGTCATTGCAGGTAGAGATATCAACAATGTAACATAACAAACCCTGAAAACATACTACCTCAACTTAGCCCAAGTTCTAGCTCCAATTATGGTATTGGAGCTGGCCCAAGTTCTGGCTCCAATTACGTGACAAGAGAAGACATGGAGGACATGTTCAATGTATATAGACAACATGTACTATCGGATGTATCAGATTTGTGCAGCAATTTGAAAACAAGCATTGTTGAACAACAAGAAAGCCATTATGAATCCATTCTTCGCAACCAATAACAGTTATTTGAACAGCAGCAAAAATGGCAACAAGACCACTTTCAGCAACAACAATACTATCAAGACATGCAGTCCAAGATGCAGAATTACGTGGATACGAGTTTAATTTCAGTGAGATCTTACATAGATGAAGAAAATAACAATATGATGAATACAATAATAGGCTGGAAAACAAATATGGAAGCTATTATGGCTTCCTTCCAGGAAGATCTTCATCCCCAACAAAGTGCAATTGTGAAAGATGTTTCAACATCTCAACAGGTAAAAGATGTTGAAGATGTTCAAAAATTAACCAAAAACAAAAAACGTCAAAAATCTTGGACAAGTTGTGCTCTAGACAGTCATAGTTTAGAAGATTATCCTTTTGAAACATATGTCGTTCTTAAAGATTGGATAGCACAGAATCCATCCAGGTAAGCAATCTAACTTCAATATTAAAATTTTACTGACATTCATTTAAAACTAAGGTCACTTATCTTATTCTTATGCAGATCATATTTCGACGAAAGAAGTGGAAATCTCCACAACAGGGATGTTTTGAAAAATATAATGGATATAAGAAAAGATATCACTACCAGGGTTAGTAAAATTAGTTCATCATTGATTATACTTATTATATTACATTTATTCCGTCAGTTAACATATTTCATTCACCCTTATTTAATTTATTAGAATCTTGACAGGGCACTAGATTTGTTAAGGCGACTTATCAAAGAAGGTTGCACCCGTCTTTCAAAGGAATATGCAATTCTTGATTTTGGATTTCACGCTGAATGTGCTAAAGAATACACAATATATAAAAGCAAAAATGAAGACATTCCAACTGGAGATTCACCAGTCAATTTTGGATTTGAAGATGAATGTGCTAACAAGTTAACGTTGCATAGAAGTAGAAAAGAAGGAGTTGCACCTAAAAAACAAACACTGGATCTTGCTCGTCTAGAACAATACGTGAATTGCATTTTACCATCGAATGGTCGCCCATCGTTAGCATGTAATTACTTATTAATTCTATGCTAATATTTAGGTAACAATTGGTATCTCTACCGTGTGAGTTTTCGAGAATGAAAATTTCAGATATACGATTGTAGCCATAGTGTTCATACCACACAAGAGGTCATGGATCATGCACACACAACATTAAGTATGGCCATTTATTATTATTATCAGAAGTTGCCATTAGTCTATTTATAAAGAAACATCGAAACAAACACATGGAAGTAAAGATTATACTATACCCGCCTTGCACAAATAATGAGTAAATATTATTTCCTTATTTTTCATCTCACTTTAATTTCTTATTTATTTATTCTAACAAAAAAATTTCTCTTCTTCTATAGGCCAAATTGTGGAGTTTTTTTTTTTTGTTTTTTTGCTGAAATACATAGAATGCTTCATTTTTGGATATTCTATTGAATCAGTTTCTCCAGACAAAATGACTATATACAGACGAAAGATGATATTAGACATTAGCAGAAATCAATACTTTCTACGTCAACTTTCATCCTAGCATGAATATTCAAGCTTAGATTCGATGGGAAAAACTCTCAATTTACTATGTAATTTTTCAGCACTGGTAGTACTCCATCAATTGCTAATATGAGGTGAGGTTTTTTTTTTTTACATTTCATGATTTCGTGCTTGTCAATTTATGGAAAATATGATTTTCTTGACTATGGTCAATTCCTATATAGATTATTGCTTATTCATGTTATTGGATTCATCCTATGGTGGTAACTTAACAACAAGATATAAGCTAATCTTTTCAATATTGTTATTCTAATTTTTTTTTGTTTTCTTTAAAGTTGGAGAAGGAATAAAGGTCAAATGATGATGTTTTTAATAATTCCAAAAACATCAACCAACATCAATTCTAAATGAAAATCATTTCTATTTTATAAACAATCATCAACTAATGTGCAACGCACGTTTTCCCCACTAGTATAATTAAAAATACAAACATAAAATTTTAAGTAAATATTAACTTTTCTGTAAAAAAATTATATATAGGTAAAACATCACTTTTAAATAAAAATTCTCTTACAAATACTATAAACCGAAAAATTTCACTAAGAGACGTATATGTAACTTTTTATTTTCATGAAACTTTCAAAATCAATGGAAAATAAACTTCCAAACATGTGTTGGGCCATTTTACAAATCGCTACTAAAACCACTCATAAGCGGTCTGCTCATTTTCGCTCAGAATCGGTACTTTAAAAAACTCTTATAACCAATATGCGGGAACTCCCTAGCAGGCACGTAACTTTAAGTTTTAGATTTAATTTTGGGTAATTAGCATAAAACGTTTCTAACTTTCAATGTTATTGTATAAAGCGTCTCTACCTTTCATTTTCTAGCATTTTCAACCTTATTTCCACATTTTATTGTCAAAAAGCCATTCCATCCACTTACGTCTGTTGCTCCGTTACTTCAATATAAAAGGCTAGGATAATTAGGACAACCTTTCCTACCTTTCAATATTGTGCAAAATATTTTTACCTTTCATTTTTTAGTATTTTCATCTTTATTTTCATCTTCGATTGCCAAAAATGTCATTTCATTCATTTACCGTCAGTTGTTCCATTACTTCAATACAAAAACCAATTTTCTTTTCAAACACCAAGGATAAAATAGTTTCAGCCTATTCAACCCTTCTTCCCACTTTCAAAATAGTTATTCCATAAGTAACAATAACGTGAATATGAATTGTGAAATACAATGTTCGTTACAACATTTTTTCTTTATTTAGCCCCCGTTTGAACTCAATTTTACTAAGAAAATACATTTTGGAATAGTAAAAAGTTGGAGAATATGTATTTTAAAAATAAGGAATTTTTTTGGATTTACGTGTAACATTATTTTATGGGGGGATGTGTGGTTGAAAATGAGTTTTGAGAATAATTGGGCTCAAACAGGTGCTTAATGTAATAATTTTATAAATTAATTTCATACCGGTTAATGTTATTTATGGAATAACTATTTTGAAGCCGGGAAGAATAATAATTATTTTTTATATAAATATGCAGTGTATATTGTAGCAGTTGAAATGATAAAACTAAGTTGGTCATGCTTGGAAAATTTTATTCACGAATTATTTTGCAGTAGCTCTCATCAAACTAATAATCGGATTGAATTGCTGAAGAAGATAACAGTGAAATTAAGATTAATAGTGTGCGTGTATTATTTGGAAGTATTATAGGCATAAGAAACCGTTACAATGATATAATATTCTATTTAAAGACATTTTCGTTACTTTCATTTTTCTTCTTCTTCATCTTTTTTACGAAGGAATTCGCAGCCGCTACTTGCTAGCAGAGCCTCGACCACCCAAAGTGACGGAAGCCCGACCACTGTGAATGCGCATTAGGTAAACCTCGCTCCATGTACAGTAGTTCGCAAACAATGATACTATTAAGTCCTATCTAATACTGTGTACCAATAATATCGATAAAACATTTTAATTCTTGATTGATTATGAGTTACAAATAAAATAATTTACATATTCATCCAAAAAAACCTGTTTGATTCTAGATTATAAATTGAAAGGTTCTCTCCCTTCTAGAAATAAAAATTATCTAAAACCATCTCAAAATAACAAGTCAGTTGGCCGTACCATGTATTAGACTCAATTTAGTATAGGGTCGAAGTCTCACTACTAAGTCGTCAAACTGGTTGCACGAGTTTCCAATTCAACATGTTGGCTATGTTCTTTTAGGAACAACCTCAGTTACAAAATTAATCTTCATCAAAGATTGCCTTTTCAACTCGAGCCCAGTGTCCGAGTTCAGTCTCCCGGAAGCTACCAATACAGAAACTCCAAGAAGAAAAAAGCAACTTCTAGCAGATATTTCATGTTTGGCTTGCTGAAAAGTCACTTTTCTAGAAAGTTTAATGAGTAGCTTTGAAATTCATGTTCAGCAAAATAGCTTAGAAGTAAGTTTTGACTTACTTTAAAGCATAGCCAAAATCGGGTAAAATCTCTGTACATGCCAAGAACCTTTGTTCAATCTGAAAGCAATTCATCCAACTCGGGATCCTCTGTTGTTAAAGCATCATAGTCCAAACCTGTTTGATTATACAGAACTTTACCTTGCTCGTTACTTAGATCTTCATAGTCTTCAGGATCAGACCACTCAAGGTCATCATCCATATTTTGATCTTCAGATTCTATATCTGTGTCTTTCTTAGTGGTGGTGGATCCCTTTCCGTGCTTTAACAGACCCAAATCCATCTTTGCTATGGCCTCCGAATCTTCACAAATGCAAGAAGAAGGGTTTTCGTGAAACTCACCCCTGCCTGGTCTCACCTCTTTTGGATCTCCCATAAAACCTCTCTGAAATGTACGAACCTTGGAGGCAAATTCTCCCCAAGTCATGTTCTCTCGGTTTAAGAACAGCCGGTACAACTTCTTGGCATTAGGACGGATGGTAGGTTTGTGTCCAAAATATCTCCTATAATCAAGAGGAATAGATTCATTAGTGGAAACTTAAGACAAGTTCCACTGTAAGTTTTGTGCAAATATAAATAAAAGCATACCTCCGCCCTGCTAATATTTTTGCCATATTACCATTGTTATTGGTCACAAAGACGTCACTTTCATCGCACACTATAAAATCTAGTGCAGCCATACGAGAAGAAAAGGCAGAAAAAGGTTCCAACTCTTGCTTGCTGGATATAGTGTCTTTTGAATAGAAGTTGGGGAAAAGAGCCTTTAATGGGGCTAACGTCTCTTCCCCTCCATATACTTCTCCAGATGCCACATAAATGTGAGTATCTTTGCCGTAACCAAGTGCTCTCAGCATCAGACCTACTTCCTCAGGAGTAAGAGGGCATCTTCCCTGCCTCCTCCCCTTATCTGGATTACCAATCTGCAAATTAATCAACAATAGATCTTAGCTATGCTATATTTCCTGTTAAAATCAAATTTCAAAGAGGAATTGAAAACTAGATATGGTTTTGGTTACTCTGCTTACACATAACAAAAGGGACAAAATCTGCACTGTAACTTGATAAAATATAATTCAAAATTCTCTGTGAATTAGTGTGTGTTTGAGACCCACTTATTTAGGCCCCGTTCGGTCGGGATTAAAATCCAATTAAAATTAAAAATATGGCCGTTATTGGGTCTCACTCATCTAATAAAAGTCAACAATAACGACTATTTTTTCAATTTTAATATGATTTTAATCCCTACCGAACGGGCCCTTAGAAAATGAGTTTTGTAATAGTTATTTTTTGAAGAATGTGTGATTAAAAAGTAGAGAAAAGTTTTAGGTTTACAAGCAAAATTATTTTATTGAAAGAATGTGTTGAAAATGAGTGTTAAGAAATAGGGATCAAACAGGGTATTAGAAGCAGGATTCATTTTGGTTCCAATTACTTTGACTACATATTTATGGTCATCTTCTTGGTAGTAGCAACTATTTACATGAGCACCATAAAAATCTTACCATAAATGAATATCTTAAACTGCATTAAAATTCAAGACAGCCAAGTCCCATATAACATCCAGAATTGGAATACAGAACCCCAAGAATTTTTTAGGACATCCAACCCCACCTCCACAATGACCAAATACTAGAGGGCAAAAGTTAAACATACAAGAAATTGTGAAGGTTAAAAGTGTAACAAATATGACCAACACTGTCAACCAGTCATGGTTTTCCGAATAAATATCATCATCACTATTTAGGATTTTAACATATCGAACTAAAACTAAAGTGTTAAGGCTTACATGTAATGTTTTCCACCTCCTCCGTATTTTACTGAGTTCCCTCCTCTCCTTGTCTCCACCACCATAATAGCACCCTGAGAATGCAAGCATATCAGGTTCAAACCTGTAAAGAAAAAGCATTCTAACATGAGATTCTCTCTCCTCTTGATAGCAAGAACGAAATTATAAAATGCAATAAAAAGAATGTTTGAATGACCTCCGTATAACCACAGATTGCCTAACAGCAATACTATTATGAACCAAAAGAATTAAAAGGCTGACAAAGACCAACAGATCAAGAATTCCAGACTAAAGATCGTATCAATTCATGTCACATTTCGCCTAAATCACTATTAAGACCTTGTAAACTAGCAGCTTGCAAATGCGAACAGACAAATTGCAGACAGCAGTGCTATAAGACAAGTTCAATAAAAGAATCCCTGTAAAAGTATATGAATTTGTGACATGCACACTGTCTTGGTTATGGATATGAAAAAGAAGCAGATGGCAGAACTAGAAATCAGAAAAATATAGCATTTCAGTACCTTAGATGAAGGGCAATATAATGCTTAGTATTCATCCTCATTCGCTGAACTAACTTTGCACCCATTTCAAGAATGGGGTCGGTGAACTTCAGTGCGTGGTAGTTGACTCTGCACCTAAGCTTCTGTAATTCCGTCTCCAGTTTATTTGCAAGTCTGTAGTCAAATTTGGTCAACATAACAGCCTGTCACAAGAGTGGCATCTATTAGTTACTGGTTTTGAACATAAATAATGTGTAGCAAGGCAAAAGTAGAAGCAATAGATATAGCAGAGAAACTCAACAATTTCTTATACTCAGAATTAAAATTACTTGCTCAAATGTAATAAAACTAGGCATAATTTCTCCGTTTTTCTGCCAATAAGATACTGGTAGAACCAAGGATACGGCATAAATAGGTTGATAGTTATCTAGAAACAAACTTAAACCTCGGGTAATATTACAACAAATGTCATATAATGCTGAATAGTGCAGCCAACTTCAAATGGTAAAATAAAATAATTCAGCCAAATTAACAAGAATACCACCCTAGCAATTGAACCTAAATTTGAAAGAAGAGTACTAGGAGGCCTGATGTGTACAATTTACTTTGCATCCCTATAAGACAGCAGGGGGTTAAATTAAGCTGGTTCAACATATTTATCGATTTGCTTTTGGCAATAACACCAACATTACAATCTGAATGGATGATTGTCTACCATTTATTAGAAGGACCTAACACGCTGAATATATGATTAGAATGTTCGATATTTTCCAACTTTAGATGCACCTAGATTTATATTATTTATCTCACCAACTGAGAAGTAGCACAGCATTGTTTAAGAATCCTCAACTTACATGTTCAGTAGATAAAAATACAACTGTTAAAAGCCGGATGCCTACAAATGCCATGGAGTCACACAATCATGTTTGAGACGTGGAGTCCATTACCTCACCACATTTTTCTTTTCGCACTTAGAGATAGCATGTTTGTAACTCAAATGCATATATGAGAAAAGTTTAACTGATTGCAATCGAGCAACTTACACGTTTCTTCAAAAGTACGGGTAATACACGACTTGTGTAGCATTTATCATTGCACTTTCTTGGAACCCTCATGGTATATGGAGTCCATATACGTCCTCTTCTCCGTGGGAGCTCTTTTCTGATTTCAACATCTTTTGCAAGATATGATACAAACCAATCAACATTAAAGATCTCTGAAAAATTGCTGCAAAGAAAGCAGTGTCAAATACAGACGAAAAGCCTTCATAGTAAAAGTTGCGTTAAATGCATTTCTCAAGACTTTACCTATTATCCTTCCAGAAAGACTTCTTGTCTAGTATTGGAACAATAAGGGTAGCATTCAAGATGCGAGCAGCAACAACAGCATCAGTTATCTGCCAAATGGTGTACAGATTTAAAGTTTAGTGTCTAATTTTGAGCTCCAGAGTATATTTATGTATTTATCTAGATGTCATAAACCAATTCAACTATTCACTTAATAAACAGAATACAAGGGGAAAGCAAATTTACCAGATCTCAAGGCTTTAGGTTCAAGAAGAAGATATAAATCCCATTGCAAGTCACAAACAATGCAAATAAAAAAAAGATTGAATAATACCACAAACTTAGCAGAGTGTCCAACTTCCAAGAAACTATTTAACGATAATAATAACCATCTTCTTCACCAGCTATTAGCAAAATGGTAATGCCTAGTGCCTCCAAATGAAGTGCAATATAAATGCATAAAATGAAATAATCTCATAATCAGCTTTCTTTAGATTAACTGTCATTTGATTGTTAACTTCTCCTTCTCAATACATAATTGATGTAACTTCCAACAGTAAAATGGGTCTGGCAGTTGCTTGGTAAACACTGATCAAGTCCTTGTGTTCTGCAAGAATACTAATTGAATTCACCAAAAATTCTTAAGCCTTTAACTAACCACAGTGAAACACTAGGATGGAGTACATAAAAGAAAATTTCCCATCAAATATGTTATAATATAGTTAATCGAATATTGAGCAGATCCTTCACAAGCAACCAAGAAAACAAATGCTTTAAGCAATACCCCAGTTCTTTGTTGATTTAGACCTCCGCTGGTTGCAATCGCCAAGTAACGATTCCGATGCGTGACATCTTCAGCCTCTGTAGTTGAAAAGCAATGTTTAACCCATAGTTGATGAAATAATATAAGTTCTAGCACGATAACATAATGGAATCCCAATACTCGAAACATATTTATATCAACAAACAAAACCATGAACAGCAACACATAAATGTGGTCCAAAAAATGTGAACGAAAAGAGGAAGAATATATGTTACAAATGCTTACGCACTTGCAAATTTGCTGCTGGCATTACTGCATCCATAGTAGAACTGAGCATTCTTTGAAGTCCAAATATCACGATCATATACTCCGCCGCTCGTCTAGATCTCAATACCCAAGACGTAACACAATGAGAAAATACAGAACTCAGATCCAATCAACGAAATGTTCCACAGTCCAACTTCAAATAAAAATAATAAAACTTTCAGATAAAACCCTAACCGGAACAAGAAACACCGGCACCCCATTGCCTTCACCAACACCATCATTCATCTGAAACAAACAAATAGCAAAACCCACAAATGTGAGTAAAATATTTTCACACAACACAAAAGCATGCCATAAACGAATCAACACATACTGAAGAATGGTGTCGAGGGTGGTGGAAGTGATCAATGTCAATAGGAGAGGGGACGAGAAACGAAAAGCAAAATAACAGCAGAACTAGAGCGGCAGAAACTGCTGAAATGGCGGGTATCAAACATCGAGTGCGGTTGTGATGCTGTTGACGCCGCCGCGGCAAAGCCATGTAAGAACGGCGGCAGGCGGCGGAGCAAATAGCTGATCGATTCGATTTCCTTTAGCAGATTACAATTTACAATGGAGGGAACAATAATTTCGATTATTACTCCAAGTTGGAGAGACTATTTTGGAGTTTTACATTTGGATTATTTGCAGTAACGACAAGGATTCCCCTGCTGCTGATCCAACGAGGAGTGGACGAGACGTTGGTTAATCATCAACAGTAATATTTCAATAAATAGTAATATCATATTGAATTCACCGCCTCGGACTGAAAAAAAAAAAATTAAAAAAAAAAATCAAGTTCTCGTTGATCATAATGTCAACAAGCATCTTCCAAAGTGCCAAACAGGCAAACATTACTTCATATGACCTAATTTTTACGTGTAATTAGACTATTTGGTTCCGTTTGATACACCATATTTTTCATGGACTTTTGTAGTGTTTGATAGACAAAAACAAAATTTTTCTGAAAAAATATTTTCCAACTTTCCAAATTTCTCACCTTTTTGAGGAAACAAATTTTTGATGTTTTGGTTGATAAATATTTTCCAGTTTTTTGTTTTTTTTGGGTAATTGGAAAAAATTCTAGATATAATGATAAAAAAATTTATCACTTTTATTGACAAATTTCATGTAAAACAAAGACAAACGAATGGTATTCGGTATGGTAATTCTTTTTCTTTTTTTGACAATTGGAACAAATTCTAGACCCAATTGTAAAAAAAATTATCACTTTAATGGACAATTTTCATAAAAAAGAAATCGAACAGACACCAAAATTTCAACATGTTTCATGAAAAATTATACCAATCAAACATAATTAATTACAATTCCCAATAAAATTTTTAAACAAATCAATTTCATGTAAAACATTTTCTTTCCACCTTTTTTCACCTTTGTAATCGAACGGACCTTAGAACTTTCACTTTCAATATTCTTGTGCAAACTAACTACTAGTCCAATCTAATTGTTATACTATTAAAACTTTTGAAACGTCAACCAAGGATCATTACTAATTTACTATAATGATATCAAGGCGGATTTTTTTTAAATAACTAATTTCACAATTTTTGCTTTTTGAAAAAGGAAAGTAACTTAAATTGAGAGTATATTTTGGAATTGTTTATAAACAAATAGACATAAATGGTGAAAAAATAAATAGCACTCGTGGCCTATAATATATGTAGATAAAAAATTATTTGACCCAAATTATTTATAAAAATGGTGCTTATAAGCACTTCCAAAACATACACTTAGGAGTAAAAAAGATAGTGCTTATAAGCACTTCCAATAAAATGGATTCAATGATGATTTTAAGCACCTTTTGTTTTAAAATTAAGTAAGGCATCTGTCAATATGAATCATTAAACTTGTGAATAACTAACATTGTGCCACCACCAAATTATATAAAATGTTTCTAAATTCTCAATGCAACACTTGGATTTCAGAGGGACCCCAAACTAGTGAAACATCTTTGATGTTAAGAAGTTGAGAAATGCTGTAGAAATCTTTTAGGGTTTGTTTGATTTATTGCAGTTGGCAAGCATTCATGTTGAGAAGGAAAGGTCAATGATATCTGGCCATTCATTGACAAATATATTGTATCAGTTGTATATTTGTTTAAGACAACCTAGAATAGATTAGCATGGTTATAGGAAATCTCTTGTATAAAGCTATTCTGATTCAATAAAATTATTTCAAAAGGCAAATATTATTTTCCTTGTTTACATGGTATCAGAGCACGGAACGATACCCTAACTCTCTGCCATCTTTCTTTTTGCCTTTCTTTTTTCATTGTTTCTCATTATCATCATGGAACACCAACTTTCGAATGGAGGCAAGCTTGATGCGGCCAATCCTTATTTTCTTCACCATTTTGATCATCCAGGAATGGTGCTTGTTTCCAAGCCCCTCAATAGGGATAATTATTCGACATGGTGTAGAGCCATGACGATTTCTTTGAACGCCAAATCCAAGTTAGGTTTCTTAGATGGGACCACCTCAATGCCATCTGCCACACCCAAACCAGACGATTATGCTTAGTGGAAAAAATGCAACGATTTGATCCTTTCTTAGATTCTCAATTTACTCACACAAGACCTTCAGACAATGTTATTTTTTCGACCACCGCCCAGAAGGTATGGGAAGACTTTCAGGATCGTTTTTTCTCAAAGCAATGCCCCTCATATTTTTCAGATTGAGAGGGACATTGCTTGTCTTGCTCACGATCAGATGACTGTTGCAACTTATTACACAAGGATAAAAAAATTATAGGATGAATTAGGATCCTATAATGACACCATTTGCTCTTGTGGGGCAGACCATAAGAGACGCATTGATGCAATTTCTCATCGGACTCAATGAGTCCTACAGTACAATCCGAGGGCAAATTCTGTTGATGAATCCACTTCCTGATATTGCCAAGGATTACTCTTCCATTGTACAAAAGGAAAAGCAGCGAAGCCTGGGGACTGCACGTGAGACGGCGGAGAACTCAGCCATGGTTGTTCGAAGGACTGAACCGGTGGCTCGTCTGTTCGAAATGGACAAGGTTCTTCTTCTCATTCCAACCCATCTAATCGAAAACATTTGCATTGATCTTATTGTGATCGTGACCATCATGTACGAGAAACATGCTGGAAGCTGAATGGGTACCCACTAGAACACCCTAAACATGCATCAAACATGTCTAATAAAGGAAACACTCATTTCAAGCGCATCATAGCCATCAATCTTCAGTCAACAATGTCAAGGAAAGTCCAATAATGTAGGAAGTGTCGTCGGTGACAAATGGGCTCTCTGATTTGCAAATCCAGCAAATCTTATCTATCATGCAGGGTAAAGGGACAACACAATCTACCAACTTTAAAGTTAATGCTGCTTCCTCAGGTTTGTTACAAACATTGTTGCTCCTCCATCAATTAATTATTGATAGTGGTGCAACAGACCACATTACTTCATCTCCAACTTTGCTTGTCAACATCAGTGTTGGGTTTTGATACCCAATAAATTTCGGGCAATGATGTTAAACCGATCTTTTGTTTGGATTGTACTTCATAGGCCTTTGTCGATGAGTGAAGTGAAATATCGACACTACAATTATTCAGATCGATGCTATAACGTACTTAGGCCATTTGAAGCTGCCTAATTAAATTGGTGTTACTTATGCCGAACCCAAACTCTTGGACGGCTTGTTGGTTGATAACCCATTTGTTTGTTACCTTTTGGGCCTTACTATTCCTTAACCTAAAAGCCCACGCCTATACTATATATATGCTGCGCTATTATTGTTGTGGTTTAGAGTGCGAAAAGTATTAGCCGAGTTTGAAAGTGAATCTGAGTTCCTTGGCTTCGTGCTTCCTTGTCGTGGCTTTGTCTTTCCTCCTTCTTCTCTAGCCTTTGTGGCTATCATTTGAGGTTATTAATTTCACACTCTCTGCCCTTTGTGGGCACCTTGGAGTAACAGATTTTAGGAGCTATTGGTTTGGGATTGGGTTGTTGATTGTGGTGTCGATTGGTTGAGACTGAGCCCGATTTCTCTTGGAGTTTGGAGTGAATTTCAAACATTTGGTATCAGAGCAGGTTGGGGGTGGATTACAGGCCAAAAACTGACTAGAATTGCAGCTGAAATTGAATAAGAAAATCTATCCATTTTTTTTTCAATTTTTGCCTGGATTTGTTTTGTCTTTTTTGGTGAAACCACTAACCTGGTGGAGAAACCAAGACCACCAGCGTGTTTAGCAGATCAAGGCGTTCCTACCTGTTCGGCGTGTGGGGGTGATGGCTGCGCGGCGACGGTTGACAGCTTCGACGAAGGTGCGTGTGGCCACGTGGGACCTCCACTGGCGACAGTTTCTTCGGTAGTGTGCTTATTTCATTTTCTTGAACGTACTGATATTTTTGGTTTCGTGTTTCAGGTTATGCAAGAAAATTTGGACGATTCTGGCTTTAGTGGGTTGACGTTCGAAACTGCCATACATTTACTGAATTACTTTAGGCCAAAAATCGAGGTTCTAAAGTAGTAAATTCGCATCTCTCGTAACTAACGGACTCAGATATGTCCGCTTTGGTAAATTTGCTTATCCCGTTTAAATTTCAATATTAACGCGTCATCGTGTGGGGTGACATTAAGATTGTATTTATCGTGAAGGGGTAACCATTGCTTGTGATAAAAATTTAGGAATTATTTGCAGTATTTGAAGTGCTGAAATTTGACTGCAAATTGGTAATTATTTTTGGGCACTTTAACTGTTGTTTAGTCTTTGTGTGAGATTGCATTGCATAAAAATTTGAATTTTTTGTAATATACCTTCGTGTTGGGTCGACTATTCCGTTAGAACACCTAGACGTGACCTGTTTGAACATTCTCTTGATCTGAGATCTTGAGTCTCACGAAATCATAGAAATCTAGAACGGTGTCTATTGTTGCCTTAAGATTACTTTGTGTGACCTATTTATGCATTTTGGTTGTTCTATTTTTCAAAATGTCTTCACATTTTGAAATTGAAATTTTCAATGGAAAATGAGATATTTCAATTTGGCACAAAAGATGAAGGAGATTTTGATTTAACAAAAAGTTTCAAAAATCATAGATGACTAATTTCCTACAGATTTAACAGAAATACAAAAAGAAGAATATGATGAATTTGCTTACACTTTAATTATTTTACACTTATCCGACACCGTTTTGAGAAAAGTTGGAAAATTCGACTCTACCAAAGAACTTTGGCAAAAGTTGATAGACTTAAACTTGAAAGATTTTTTAGTTTTAAAATGGATCTTTCAAAGGATTTTGATGACAATTTGGATATTATCAACAATCTTGTTCAAGATATTGTTAATTGTGATGAAAAAGTGTCTGATACGTATAATGACATTGTTTTACTGAATTCTATACTTGGTTCAAGACATCGTTAACTGTGAAGAGAAGTTGTCTGACTGAATTCTATGCTTGATTCATATAGAGAGGTTAAGAATGCAATTAAGTATGGTAGGGATACCCTA